GACCTAACCACTTCTACGGATCAGGTTCAGGTTGAAAACAATGAAACAGATGGAAGTGTTGATTCATGCGTCATATGCGACGAGTGACTAATCGTTTATATATCTAAAAAAGTGTCGCGGAGTGCTACTAAGTGGTCAACCATCGGGGGGGGGGGTGGGGGGGGGGGGGGGGGACGAGTTTTGTTGCGTGCATGTGATAAGTCCATAACCATTTACACACAGTGTCGTACCCCATCTTTCAGGGGCACCGTGCATTCTATGGAGTGCACACCTTACACCTTCTTTGATTTTTCGGTCGACAGTGTTTTTTCATCAGAGTTTTGATAGTTATTCCGGTAGCGTGAGAAACGATTATTTCAATTTTGTAATTGGTTCCTGAAAAAGGCTTCTTAGTTTGTTGCAGCAGTGAAAAGAAAATTGCGTTTCCATGCTGGACTCGCGTCTATGTTTAGCTGTTCACTAGACTTTTACCACTTATTCAATAGCGTAAAGCATGATTTTCAAACTAGGTCTGATTTATAAAAAAGACCATCGTAGAGCACAGTGGAGCGAAAAGAAGATTACGTTTCACATTCGAATTTTCTACACTCATAATACTTTGTGGGCACCGAAAACATGAGAGGGTGTACAGAAAGTCGTAAAGTATCAACGATCACGTAAAACGTGAATCAAAATGAGGAGAGAAACCCTCTATAAATAGGGAAAAACTGCGGGTGCCTTGCAAGTCAACTGCCAAACCCAGCGGATTTAACAATGTGTAGTTACTTTAGGCGCTTTTAGTTTCTTGGATTAGGGTAAAAAACTCACCTTCCTTTGTTTGTTAATCTGCGTTCATTTCAGAATTTTTTGTGAAATTGTTCTGTTGTGATTTACAGAATCGACTTCGCTCAGTTATCGAAAGTCCTCAAACAGTAGTGAGGAGGTGAAGCCACCACCAGAGTTCATACCGTTCCCTTACGAAAAATTATGTCCGAAGTTTCGTGATCTTTTGTCGAAGAATTCAGAGGATGTCACGCTCAACAAGGACGATCTGGTATGTCTTTTTTATGGAATTCTATAATGTCAAAGTCTCTTTTTCTTTTCTTGCAGAAAGTTATGATTAGAATGCGACTCGAAGTTTGATTTCTTGATTCCCTAGGACAATACCAGCTAGCTTGTGCTCGGTGTGGTAGCTCCCATTTTATTGCTAGTGTTGGTCTGACACTGATATCGTCTTTATTTTGATGTTAGTTCCTGATCTGGATAGGATATTGCTTGAATAATAACGGTGGTTAGTCGGTGGTACCCTGGTCGATGGACCAATCTCGCTCTTAAAGGCTGACACAGGCACTTCCTTCCTTGCGAGGTCCTGCAAGGTGCTCCCAGACTTGTCTGGGACGATAGCAGCACTAGTTTGATGTATCGGCAGGCCACCGCGAGTCATTGTAAAAGCCACATGTGCACTCAGCCACCTCGAACGATGATGAAGTCAAATGCATGGCTTATCTCAGAGGGTTTGATCAACGCGAAGAACTTAATCCTGTATCCTTTTATCGCTTGCGGGTTCACTACAAAAAGCAGAGCTTTGTTTTCCGGTACGAAAAGAAACACTTTTGGCATAACTAATTAATGACCTATGTGGAACTCATCACAAGATCACTTGAACATTATTGTTGCAGTGTTATTCACACCATCTATGCTGTCATGAATCATGACATGCATTGTATTTAGCTTGCTATTCAACATGAATTAGAGGCAATGTTGGCCCATTCGGCTGATTATTTGAGACGTGCCCATGGAGAGGTTACGTATCTGAACACAGGGGAGTATCCAGTTGAAGATCTGGAGAACAAGGCTAGCTGTTGTTTTTTGTTTGTAAATACTTGTAGCACTTTCTTATCTCTTTGTTTTTCAGACCAATGCCCTCTTACAAGCTACGTGATAGTGTTCCAGTGTCTACGTCAGCAACACATCAGCTACAGGAGAGGTAGGTGTCAAATCTATCCTCTGCAATTTTTGTACCATTCCATAATTATAGTCACAATAAGTAGTCCTTTGCGGTCAGCTGGATCGATTTTTCTAACAGTCTGCATATTTTTCTATTTTACTTGCTTCTCTTTAACGTGATATGACGTCATGTATACTATATGATATATAATGATATATATAACATATATATATATATGTATATATGTGAGAATGTTGAATGGCATGCAATAAACATTCGACATCAACAAGAGAGTTGCATCCGCATTTCCCCATTGCGGGGCGCGCACTACCACTGTACCACCGGTGCCGTCGCTCTGCTACCACTCTTTAACTGAAATTGAACTATCGTAGCTGTCAGCAACCAGTCTTTAACGAGTTTTAATGATAGCATATATCTAAGAAAGAATGGTAGCAGAGCGGAGGGTATTGGTGATGTAGTTGTAGCACGCGTTTCCGGGTGATTGGAACGAGGGTTCAACTCTCGCCTGACGTCGAATGTTTTGCATATTGCACAATATTCTTAGACTCTCTTACAGCTTATGTGGTCTTCCTGAATATGATGGTGACGATGATCTTGACGTTTGGCCTCCACATCATATTCCTCAACGTTTTTGGACATGGTGCAAGGTAATGGCGGTTTTGACTTATTGTGTCATATTTCTTATTAACACAACAAGTTTTCTTCTGTATAGGCCAACTTCTTGACCCCTATTGACGCTGAGTACCTACGCGATTTCAAATCTTTGCTTACGGATAAATACACGCCGGAGGAGTTACGATCCTACTATGTGAATGGTACGCTGCCGCTCTGAGAGCATTTGTCATCTTCTCATTTTGTTCTAAGCCTCATACACTTAATATTTTGCGGTTAGCTTTGATATAGGAAGTTCGGGGAATTTCTTATATCCGAGAAGAGAGACTTTTTTGTATTGATTATTTTAAGCATTGCTTGTGAACAAAGACTCATTAACCACTCAAGCTTTCTCAAAGTGATAGAAAATCGGTTTACCTCAGTCGTCTTTAATATCGAAGGCCTCTTAGTCGGTCATTAGTGTTGTAACTGAGAATTATCCGCGCTTATTTTTCCATGTGTATCTCGGTTATTGTGACGAAGTTGAATGAGAAATATTTTGGCAGTGTTTAGAGGAAGTTTTTCAAAAGTTAGAAGTGGTCATCTACCTTACTCTTTGCATATTTGTAGATATAAATGAGTTCAAAAAATCGTGTTTTGACTTTTATGGACTGTTTTAATTCTAGAGTACGATGTAAAATACAACCACAAGAATGCTAAGATGCGATCAAAGCTTGAAACTCAGTTGGTCTTTGAGCCCACTGTTACCCTTCCTGGGGGCTTACGTGATATCCACTGCACCACAGTGGCCCTTGCCTAGTCTCAAAGCTGCGTTAGCGGCGTAACTACTGGTTTGAAGCTCAACTGAGACTCTGCGTTTGCGCTCCTATCTCTGCATTCTTGTGGTTGGATCTCAAATCTTACACTTATGTAACTACTTTTACCCCGAACTATGTATAATATCTCATACAATTACAATGAAATATCACATCTTAGGTGAGCCATATGGAACAGGTTGTTTTGAATAGCTTTGAGAAACGTTTGAATCACTGATTACTAATATAGTTTGTGGCAGTCTAACAAATGGCTTTCATTTTTTTTTTCAAAGGTTGATTTTGGACTAGAATTTTGGAGCGACGGTTTTTCATCCCTTTCCTTATTCGTTCATCTGAATTTTTCTCCAGTTTGTTATATTATACGCTTAGAATCTTCTAAATTCCAAGGTCGTCCAATAAATAAATGGAGGATTAAGCTCCTCGGAAAGAAAAGTTAACGATTTTTTAAAAAGTTGGGAAAGGGGGGCGGGGGGGCTATTTGACGTCCATCTATGGATTACAACTGTATAACGGACTGTGCCTTATGCCGTAGTGTAATTTGTAGTTTCATTATCACTTCATTTGATTCGTATCATAGTTTTTTCACCGTATCATCCCAGTACTTCCAGAATTCATTTCATCGCTTTGTGTTCATCGCTTTATTCAGGATTATTCTTCATAAACGTCCTAGATTACTGATTGAACACATCTTCTTGTTAAGGAAATTTCAAGGGTAGTTAAGGTGGGGCCTTGGTCGTTGTTGATTGCCAAGGAGAGTGGGAGCTGGGGAACAGCTCCACACGAGCATCACTAGCCGCTCGGCCATCGACAACTCATAATCTTGTATTGATCATTCAAATCCGGCCATTCAGTGCTATTCTCAGTGGTGTTTTTTTTTTTCATTAAGCAATCAGTTTTTTAAGAACCATGGAAACATCGAAAGCGTCAGCATCATCGGTCTCGTATCACTTCTAGCGACATACCAGCATCACGTAGTAGAACAAAGTACAGTGTTGATACTCCATCTACGGAAAAGAAAAGTGCAGAAAACCATGACAGGAAGTAATAAATGTTTATTAGACATTTTAGAACCATTTTCGACAGTCATTATAATTCCTAGAACTTTCTCTTGTATAGGTTTTCCGAACCGGCTAGTATTCGCTCCTCTCGTGGAATAGATTTGAAGTTAGCGCCGTTGATCAGTGATCTGGTGTGTGCCGCAAGTCGAGAAATGCGTAAAGATGAGCATTCGACACCAACCCGGAGGTCTTCCACGAGGCTCCACTCACGGGATGATTGTGCAGGATGAGAGGAAAAGTGGTGAGTTCTCGACGAGTTTTCTACTTTTGGAGTTTCAGAAGGTAAACTGGTCTGAAGTTTGCTTACATTTTCACTGTTTTTTAGATGTAATGTGTTGTTCGTTTACATCTACGAATGTTGAGTGATATACAAAACATTCGATATCGAGTGGGAGTCGAACGCGCTATTCACTCATGCCGAAACTCTTGCTACCACTCTGTCTTCCATATGAGCTGTCAGTGTAACTGGGGTCAATGCCGATATGTGCATACCAGACCAAACCTACTGAACGTGGTTGGCGACAGCTGCTACAGTTCAAATTGAAGATAGAGTGCTAGCAGATGGCGGCTCCGTTGGTGTAGTGGTAGCACGTGCCCCTGGTGTGGGTGAAACGATGGTTCGATTTTTGCATGGAGTTGAATGCTTCGCATACCATCAGCATTTTTTTGAGTTAAATTAATCTGTTGTAGTCTCTGTCAAGAGTGAACCATTCGACATGGTAGGAAATGATAGCGTAAAACGATTCTCACGAGATATTACATATCAATGGCTTCGGTACGCGATCTCCTCCGAGCACGCAAAGTGAGTTTTTGCTGCGGAAAGTTGCTACTCATTCGGCTACTATTGCAATGACTGCCCTTCATTTATAGTGAGTTCACCACGGATAAAGAAGGAAAGTCGGAGAGGAGTTTTTTCCTATGAACTCACCAAAACAAAGAGGGAAATGAGAGAGGAATTGAGTGATGATTGGGATCGCCCTGGCCCTAGCAATTCTTGTAGTGCTGGCAGTATTGGTCTTTGTAACGGAGAATTAAAGACGAAGCTTAGGAGAAATGGAGAAGTGAGTTATTGATTTTTTTCGAACCTACGGTTTTCTCCGTTTTGAGCACTATGCGTGTGATATGCCATGATTGCTCATCCATTTCAGGCAAAAACGGGAGAACGGCATTCATTCAAAAACAGGCTCAAAGCTTGATTTCCCTACACCGACAGGTTTTCCTGTGTTCCCAGAGAAGGGAGAAATTGAACAGCATTATCGCGACATTGGTGGCCGTATCGTCAAAATGCTTGTTGAGCGAGGTTAGTTAAGGTTTGCTCATACATCGTTCAGACTGATCTCCATGAAGAAGCATTCAGGTTTACTTCCTTCGTCGACGGAGCATGTGTATCGCGAAATCGCTGAATGTTCCACCAATCATGAGGTTACGATCAGTCGAGAAGGAAAGGAGGATGATGACGACTCGGACTTGGTGCTGTAATATTTCACGCTTTCTTTATTTCTTTTTAATTCTGGATCTTTTTTCACTTTTATGTAGCGTGAGCCTTGTGGTCTTGTTTCCGTGAAAATCTGATGAATTTTTAATTTTTGAAACACTCATGATCCTCGTCATTTACGCTTGGGGGCTGTCGCTGGTAGCAGGGCGGCATCGAGTTTTCGCGCGGCAGACGATGCGATTGACCTACAGGCGGACGGATCCTATCGCTACCTTGCGTTGTAGCGTAGAAAGAGTGGTGTCACAGACGGGCGTCGGTAGTTGCAACGGTTCAGCACGCACCCCGCATAGGGTGAAATGTGGGTTCAAATCCTACCTGCCGCAAAAGTTTTGCACATCATCTCTACATCACTGAGTGTACGTTACTTTGCTTTCGTCAGTAGAGCGTAGTTGTGAAGGCCTTTCCTTAGGCAAGCTTTGTATTGAAAACTGCTTATTTCAAGCTGGTGAATGACTACAAAAACAAGTCATTCTGAAAATATCCTATTACAATTGGAAATATGTTCCTTTTTGCGACGATATGGTTTTCTCGTTGACACAAGGAATTTTTAAACACATGGGTGTTGTTTTTACTGAAAAATGCTCATAGAAGTTTCTTCAATTAGTAATTATTATGTCCCCGCAAAACCTCCGTTTACCAAATAAGTGCTCCAATTTCCGTTGGGGTTGTGCCATTACAAATTCGCCCTGAGATGCGACGACCGCCGTTACCGTACCTAAGCGGGACACGACGTCGCGCGCCATGGCACAAAGTGTAGCATGCCGTTCCCAAGTGGGAAGTAAATAATAATTTAAGGAGTAAAGAATTTTTATACGATCTATCTTCGATTGTATCGTGAAGAAACTAATCGTAAGTGAAATGATGAAAAATGTTGACAAAGTAATCAAAGAGCTGAGTACATTGAAATTACTTGGATACTTGGACGATCCGTCTTCACGAATTGTGCGGACCCCAGAACATCTTCCATTCGTCTCGTCTTCTCGCGATTGTCGTTTATGGCGGTGATTTCATTCAAGCACGGCCATAGGCGCGAGTTTCACATCGTGATCTGTAGAATATCGGAGGCAGGAATACAGCTGATGCGAATACAGATATGACTACAGCTGATTAATTCTAATGAACACATGCGCCCAACGTGTAGGTGGTCATCCTCGGGACGGATGTGTTCTCGTCGTGCCCACTCTACAGTTCGTTTCGTCCATCTGTCTTCTGATCTTCTCACTATATGACCGGCCCATCTGTGCTTCGCTGTCGATGTGAATTCTTCTGAATCACGGAAATGGGATAAATTCCTGAGATCTGAGCTGCGCAAGCCGGCTAGGTGTTGTGAGTGTCGATTTGATTTTCAAAGGCATCGTTGAAGCGCTCTGCTGGTCGTTCGCACTAGTCATGACGTGGTCGAAAGTATCAGCCCACGTCTCGGCTGCATAACAGAGCGCTAGGAGGGACTGTGGAATCGATGAGGTTAGCGCGTAATTTGGGGTCCGTTATGTTGTTCTCCATATTAAGTGAGAACGATCAAGGTACACATACGAAGAGGTCTCCGCAATTAAAGATCCATTACATGTGATATTCCATCATTGCGACCACTGGTTTTTCATGAACTGAGTCTTAATACGATCTTATGCGTAGTCCGATCTTCTTCACCGCTTCGTTAAGTTCCTTGAGCATCGTCTCCGCTTTAGTAGTGCTTTTCGAGAACAAGACAATGTCAACACCCAAAAACGAAAGTTTGACAGAATATTTCCATCGATGCGTATGCCCTTCCTGCGTCCCAATCAAGCGACTTCATTGTCCACTGCAGTGCGGCGGATGAACAGCTTTGGTGATATCGCCCTTTTACAAAGGGTATGGTAGAGGTCAATGAAAAGGGCCGTATTTTCGTGGTACAGTCTCCAATAGCAGTTCGATAAAGTTCTTTTGTAGAACGGATTCACTCTTTAATCGACGATCGCTTATAGGACTGCGTTTGTTTTGACTTTATCAAATGCTTTTCATGGTCGTTGAAAGTTAGGAATAAGGGCAGGTGGTACTCCCAACAAACTTCTGTGACCCTCGTCAAGGTTTGGATGTGGTCCATGCAATGAAATCCTTGTCGAAATCCTGTTTTCTCTACTGATACCTCACCCAAAGTTCTTCGTGTGCGCAGAAAGATGATCTTCGTAAAAGGTTTTTAAAGTGTGCTTAGCAAGCAGATTGGACGGTAGCTACGAAGATCCCTTCGCTCAGCTTTTTCATGGGTGATGACTACGTCCGACGTCCGCCACTTGTCTGGGATTTTCTCCTTTCGAAGGTAAGATGTCGTATGTGTGACGAGAAGTATGAGTAAATTGGCCTGTGGCTCGCAGCAAATCGGAAGACATGTTATTGGATCCTGGAGCTGTGTTTTTTTTTCACGCTTTCTGTCGCGACTAGAACTTCAGAGGACAGGATCCCAAGCGATTTATCTTCAGTGGGGATCACCGGATCCGAGATGTGGATGGTTGAATTTTTTTTAAAAAATTCAATTTTTGCGATAAAAGTTCAGCCTTGAAATGTCTTTATATTGGTTACTTCATTAGAATGTTGTTCTGTTCTCTGTGCGATTTTTCCTCCAACTTGCAGACATTTCATTGTTCAAGAAATTATACGAACTTGCAACCTGCTTTAGTCGTGTGGTAACAAATCTAAGCAACCTGGTTCTCATCTAAGGTTCAAGTGACATGCAAAAACATTCGACCTTAAGCTGGACCGAACCGTCATTTCACCCATACGGGTAGAGGGGCAAGTGGTAGTCACTAAAGTACTACCGGCGCACAGATAAGCACTCAAATTTATTAACCAGAAGCAATTAAAATCGCTTAAAAACACTATTCAACCGGACTGAGACCGATCTCATTGAGGACTTGTTGCCGGCCGTAAGGTTGATCAACACCAAGCGTAACTTGAGCACGTGAATCTCATTCTGCTTTAAAAACGACGCAAGAACCCATGTCGCAAAATTGATAAATAGGAAGTGGACCAAAATGGGCTGGAAGTTTCCTGAACCCTCCGCCATACAGTCGCCGTCTGGCGAACACCTCTTCCCGTCGCTGAAAGCAATTCCTGACCATGAAGACGTTCTGGGAAAGCGGTCATTTATATCAAGGACTTGACAACTTCCTTTGAATACAAAGAGACGAGATTCTATAAGCGTGGTATTTGATTTGTTGCCCGAGAGATGAGCGGGAAATGTGTTCAGCCTTATTGTGCATACTTTAGAATAGTGTTGTTAAGCAATTTTCAATTACTTTCTGGTTAACAAGTTGTGATGTTCTATTGCTCTTTTGCCAAAACCTATGAAAACACTAAAAAAAATAGGTTATGTAAAAAGTTCGTGTCGTTTTAGTTTTCTAATTTGATCTCTGCACTGAAATTGCATAATTCTGTTGAACCAAAAAGATCACCCAACTTTAACACAGCGTTCTAGTTGAAGTGTTTTATCGTCGTGTTCTATTGTTCTGTTGTTTACACAAAATAAAATCTATGAAAACATTTTTACGATGTATTGTCACTAATTTTCCAGTTTCTAGGATGAGGTGTCGGACGAATTATTTCGCATGTCAAACAGAATTACAAGAGTTGGAACCACGATTACGTGGGATTATCTCACATGCTGGGACAAATTGTGTGGAGATTTTGCTTATTGGGGAAACGCTAAAGCAATTGGACGATGCTGACAGTGATGTAGGTCTTCGCTTGTTTTTGCTTGTTTTTTTTTCTCAGTTTATCTTTGTAGTGATGATAGTGGTATTTATCAAATTCGTCACAGAAGCATAATTACGTCTTTGAGATTGACGTGGTGTCTTCGTTTTATGCTGAACCCCTTCGGTACCACACTTTTTACGGCTTGGCACATAACGCAGTCTATCTGCAGGCGGGGCGCGCTATGATGGCGGCGTGTAGTTTTAGCAATGGAACCCAAGATTCGGATTTTATGATTACTAAAGTGGATTTTAATCGTCAGTAACTAGTTGAATATCATTGATGAGACTTCAGTAAGGCTATTGGTAGTAGGAAGAATGCCAATGCTTCACAATGAGCAAAAATAAATCGAGTGTTTGTCTAAAATGGTCCTACACACACTGGTTAGGAAAACTATTATTCTGCGATGCGATTTTGCAT